TCTCCTAGTTCTTTTCTATGCTCTCTAAACTCACAAAACAAGTCTAAATCACTAATACACTCCCTAGAGCCCCCTATTACAGTCATCATGGACTGCACTCAAGTAAATTCCACATTTACTCCAATAACTTCCTCAACTTGTTCAAAAACTGCTTTAGAACTGAATTTGTATGTTGTCTCGCCATAGAGCTAAATCATCTAACGTTGAGGCGATGCTTGCAGTGATGCAATGCTAAACTTCAGCACCGAGGCGCTTAACTCTTTGCATTTTTAGGCTGATTTATGCTTCTTCTGTTGCTGATGCAGTTTGAAATGTGGCGCTGAACACTCGAGTTTTTGATCAATTTCTTCACATCTCTAGCCTCATAGTGCAAATCAGATAGCACCGAAGTATCATCTCTAGTGCCGTAGTGTTAAGTGGTCTGCTTGGTCCGCGCCCAAGCATGTGCTTTCCATTTTGCTAACTATTTTATGCTCTGGATGGCGTGGCGCCGCTAGTTATGGCATTTCAACACTATCTTGTTTTTTTAAAAATTCTTTTTGTTTTTTTTCCTATGAAATTTTCTACCCTAAGACATTGTAATAAATCATAAAATGATAGATTTTTGCTTAATACATATATTTATTTTTTACTTATTTCACTCATTTACTCAACTCATGTAATATAGTATCATACATTATGCTGCTATGAATGTTTTCATAAGAGGGACAAAAAGAATAGTAGAAACAATGCTTGATTTTCATAATCAATTTCCATATCAATATTTTTCAAATCCTTAATAATGAAATTAAACATATTAATTTGTGATTTATTGGGTGTGTCTATATATAGAATAAACATATTTTCAGTTATAGTTTAAATTTTTAATGAGGCCTTTGATCATGTACAGAGATTCTAACCTGAGCTATAACTCCTCTTCGTTTCTATAAGACCTATGGCAGATCTTGTTCACCAAGGGTTGATAGATTATTGAGAAAGCTTTTTTATCCATCTCTACTTTATCCTATTCAATAAATAGCATGAGGCATATCCAAGATCCCATTAGGGTTTGCAGAAGCCGCTACTCATGTTGAATACCTTGCAGCTTGGCTTATAAAAGTCCAAAATTTTCTGAATCATCGAAATAGTCAATTTCATACTCTTTGGCTATTGTTTTTCACATATACTTTGATGCCAATTGTCAAAGAAAACACCTTTGCATGTGGGGCCATCCAATATGAGTGATTATGATACAACAACAACAAACCTTTATCCCACTAAGTGGGGTCGGCTACATGAATAATTTTTCTCCGTTGCATCTTTATTGAGTTTCATATTTTCATTTAGTTCTAATAAATTAAGATCATATTCTATACAATATGCTCCAATCTTTTTTGGTCTACCTCCGCCTTTCTTAACATAATTTGAATCTAAAACATCTATTCTCCTAATCGAACAAAAGGGAGGTGTGCAACACGAGAACTTCCAGGAAGTTTCCCATCCTAGTACTACTCTCACCCAAGCAAGCTTAAATGTAGAGTGAATATGATGAACAAACAAAATAATAACAAAGAGATTATGGGCAATATGATGCATAAAATTTGCATGATTTGTCTAAAACAATAACCTATGTCCACAAGAGATGAGAGATGATTTAATCCACCATAGAGAAGTCATATCAATATTCAAATATGTGTACAATAAAATACTTTTCGTTAAACCAGTACATGAAAGTTATATTTAAACTTAAAATATGTTGCTTTTTGTTTCTTCAATCATTTTAAAGCACAATAATATCGAACTTATTTAGCTCTTTGGCGATATTTTTTAATCCTTGCTTTAATTTATTAAATTTATTAAAACCCAAATCATTATACGATAATGATAAATATTTTCTTTAAATATAGATTTTTTTTAATTTTAGTTCAAGTTGCTGTAGGTACTAGAATTAACTAGGCATGTTGAATTGTACTAGCTGATTATAACAAATAAAGGAAAAATGTGTTGAGAATTGAACCAATCTAACACAGGGTACCAACCAACAAATGGAGATCTGAAACAGGGAAGAGAACACATCCCATTATTTTAAGATCATCAAAAGCACGATTACAGGCAGACATTAAAAATGGAAATATCTAATAAAAAACTATAAAAGTAAAATCACTCTTACTAATTATAAATTTACTCATCATAACCAACATATTTTGAGGTGATGATGAACATTTATTTTGAGATTTGAATCTCATACTGTAATCTCAAGTTCATTATGATTTTTTTTAAGGTTTTATACCATCATTTTCATGCGTTGACCAGTACAAGTATAACTATAACATGGATTTGATTTTATTTCCACTGATATTGCAGAAAGGTTACTTATTTGTAATCTGGTTTTTAGCTTGATGAGTCACATGGTCATCGTAATGAATGCATATATCTAGACTAGACTATGCTAAGCCATTACATGTCTTTTTTTTTTTAAAATAATTATTACCTAGTTACTTGTTGCTCTGATTTACTATTATTAAATTAATAATTTTCATATTTGAAAATTAGTGTTTAAAAACTCGTTGTTTTAAGGGGATGATTTCTTCTTCAACGATAAATTTCTATGCTACTAGTGACGGTGCTGAAGTCTAGGTCTCAAAGCTTAAAATCTTGATGATAAGGATTAAGGTATAAAAAAATGTATATTCATCTTTTATTTAGGAAGAAGCATAGAAGCTATGATTTTGGCCAATCTTAATTGTATCAAATGTCAAGTTGAATCTGGTCTTTGTTTAATTGGGATATTGAAGATTATGAGCACGGTAGATGATTGCTCTAAAGGAAAATGAAAGAGAAAGAAATTTAGATGAATCAAGGATCAGGGGTGAACCTAGGTAGGGTTTAGGGAGGCAGTTTCCCCTCTCAAATTCACGTGTTTACTTATATAGGAGGGCAATTTGGTCTTTTTCCCCTTATCACTTTGCTCTTCATTGCCCTGCTCTCATGTTTGGTATAGACGGTAGTTTGTCCACCCTCAAAAAAGTGGTTGGTTCCGCCCCTGTGAAGGATCTAAGATAGATTGTTATCTTGAAGGACAAAAAAATGTCCTTTCATAAAATTGCAAATTGAAAAAGAAAGCCTTATTTTATTCATCATTCATTGTCCATGGTGATTTGAGTGACAAAGTGACTCTTTTTATTTGCTTATTTTCATTATAATTACTACTGTTCTTTGTAAATATTAAAAAAACCTTCTTCTGATCATTGGATAGAAGAATATTGCTTCAAATATAGTGATCCAACTATTAATAACCCTCAATTTGTTGATAATATTGTGTTATTTTGTCCTACTCTTTTTCAAGCTAATATTCTTAGGAATATATTGAGCATCTTTGAGGAAGCTTTTGGCTTGAGGGTTAACTTTTTCAAATTATATCTGATTCTTGACAACCAACGTTTCCTCAGTGCCCTTCTTACTAATGGTTTGGGATGTTCTCTAAAACTTTACCATTCAAGTGGGGTATGGTATCTCTTTAGGCTTTAAAAGTAGTTGACATACTCTTTAAAGTCCTCGTTGAAAATATTTAATTAAACTTTCTTTTGAGAGAGAAACTTCTTTTCTGAAGGGGTTGGATTGTGCTAGTGAACTATATGCTATCTTCTCTTATTCTGTACTAATTTTCTTTGGGATTCTAAACTGGATCATTATAAAATTAATCCCATTAGAAGGAAATTTGTTTTGAAAGGGGTTGATCTAGTAGTGGTTTTTATCTCGTCAACTATAAAAGTCTTTATAGACCAAAAGATAAAGGAGGTTTTGGTATTAAAGGCATATGCGGTATGAATTTATCTTTCCTTGGCAAATTGATTTTGAAGTTTTTAAAAACAGCAATCCTTACTTTACAGGCTTTATGAAAGTATTTAGAACCTCCGCCATGTCTTATGCTGCCTGAAGTCTATGAAAAGGGTTTCTAAAGTTTTTGATCAATTTTGAATGAATATCTATTAGAAAATTTATGATAGCAGAACTTTAATTTTTGAAAGGATAAATGGACGTATTGCTCATTGGTTATCCAATTTTCAGATCGCTATATTGCCAGTTATTATGGTAGTTTAGTTGCTTCTTTTCATAGTAGTGGCTATATTTGTTATTGGCTTTGAAGAAGGATCACTCATTTTCATTTAAATGATCATAATTATCTTTTTTTTAAAACTTAAAGCAATTAATTTAATCCTGACCTTGAGAATGACACTCCATATTTTGCTTCCATCATCTATCAATGTATTTTGTGTCTGGTCATTTTACCCATTCTTGAGTAATGTGGTGCTATTACACTTAAGGCTTTTGAATTTGGAAATGTATTGCTGAAAATTACAGTCCTTATCTGAATAAAATCTCTGATAAGTTTTCTTTTCTATTTTAAGTAATTGTCACTTATTACTGTATGCGATGTTTGCTTTGACAAACTAGAAGATGGCTTGTATATTCTTTGGTTGTTTTTCTATCTCAAATATTTGGAAGTGACTATAATCATTTTGGCACCCTCTTGCCTTTTTTTGCCTTTTATCTAGCTTTTATTTGGTAGACAAATAACCTCATAAAAAAAGACTTCAGAGATTGTTGAGATATCTTCTTCAGATTTTTCTTTTGTGGGATCTGTAGCAAGTAATACTAGATGCTTACAGACAAGAAGAAAGAGGTGAATTTCTTCTGGATCAACATTATCAATCTTGCTTATTTTTGGATTAATGAAACCAATGATAAGAAGTTTGATTATAATGAACAAGTATATAGAGGATAGTCATTCTACTTCTAAGGAGTTGCTCTCTTTTACCTCTTAAAATTTTCTTCTTTTGTTCTTTTGTTTTTTTATTTTGTTTTCCCAACTTTTTTGTAATTGTCATGCAAACTTTTTTTTAAATCAATGAGAAAGAATTACCTTTTTTCCATTCAAAAAGAGAGACTACCAACCCTTTTCCGCAGCTTATCCATTGAGGTGATTCCATTTGATTTGCTTTCTTTGGTACAACATCTAGGTGATATCCATGGCCAGTACAGTGATCTTTTAAGGCTTTTTGAGTATGGAGGCTTTCCTCCTGAGGCCAATTATTTATTCTTAGGTGATTATGTGGACCGGGGAAAACAGAGTTTGGAAACCATATGCCTTCTTCTTGCCTATAAAATCAAATATCCAGAGAATTTTTTTCTTCTTAGAGGAAATCATGAATGTGCATCCATAAACAGAATATATGGATTTTATGATGAATGTAAGCGCCGATTCAATGTGCGACTATGGAAGGTCTTCACCGATTGCTTCAACTGCCTTCCTGTAGCTGCTCTTATAGATGACAAGATATTTTGTATGCATGGTGGGCTTTCTCCTGATTTATCGAACTTGGATCAGATCAAGAGTATTACTCGTCCAACTGATGTTCCAGACACTGGTTTAATATGTGATCTACTCTGGTCAGACCCAGGTAGAGACATTCAAGGCTGGGGAATGAATGACAGAGGAGTTTCATACACTTTTGGTGCTGATAAAGTATCAGACTTTCTAATAAAGCATGACTTGGACCTTGTTTGTCGTGCTCATCAGGTTGGAGCCATTTTTTATATTGGCATTTTGTTTTCACTTGTTTTGATCTGTTGCTGAAGTTCTCTCCTAATTTGCAGGTCGTGGAGGATGGATATGAATTTTTTGCTGATAGACAGCTTGTAACTATATTTTCAGCCCCAAACTATTGTGGTGAATTCGATAATGCTGGTGCAATGATGAGTGTCGACGAAACTCTCATGTGCTCTTTTCAAATCCTTAAGCCTGCAGAGAAGAAATCAAAGTTTTTGATGTCAACAAAAACATGACAGTGACACATGCTACTACTATGTTTCTGCTTAAGGTTTGGTTAATTAACTTTAAAGTAATTGTTTTGTTATGTTTCATTTATTATAAACCTGTTGTTTTATTTAATAGTCTAGGTGCTGAGTATGCTTTCTTTTCAGTTTTTTGTTTAGACTTTTTTAAATTAACCATGGTATTATATACTTTACGATTGAATCTCAGAGTTCATAATACACATTATTCAGTGGCAGGGCTTTTTTATTTTTTATTTTGTGAGGGTGAACACAAATAAGTAATGTGCTGGTCAAACTATCTGGTAATATTGCGAATTCTTTATGTTTCATTTGAGGTTGAGAGTGTCAATGATTTGAAAAGTCCTTCATAATATAAATAAAATGAAACAAACTCTTGAGTAAATAAAATTTCTAGTGTTCTTATCTGATTTTTCTATTGGTAAACAGTGCGCGATTGCTTCATATAAAATATTTTAGTTTTTTTTTTAAGGTGCTCAGACTTTATTAGCTTAGATTATGCGGAGGGTAGTAAATTTTATCTATGTTTTTTAGAAAAATCTTTGTAGGACTGTTCAAATAATAAAAATCAATAAATTATCGAAGCTATAACCTATTAAACATATTTTTTCTTTTTTAAAAATTAGGATTTCATAGTTATTTTTCAGATAGACAAAATAATGCATGGAGAAAAAGATTAGCAATCTTATTTTTACATGTAACCTTAAAAGGCTGATATTATGCAAATAATTAACTACTAGAATAAGTAGAATGGACTGCTTATCTAATTGGTGAAACCATAAAACGATCAATTATTTTCTAATTTTTAAGTGATAGTAAATTAGATTAGGAAAATAGAAGTATTTAACATTAATGATGGTAAATATGACTAAACCTGATTCTGCTTGTTCATATTTTTAAATACTGTCCATTTTGGTCATTACTGGTATTCCAATATATTAATTGATTATTGCGGTTAATTGTTGTTGTTTCCAGTTGCATTGGGTCTATTATTAGGAATTACTTACGTATATCATCAACCACTAGGAAAGCTTGCTCGTGTTCGGCTCATTTATATTTCGAGCTCAAAAAGTGTGTTCGTGTTCGGCTCGTTTGCTTAACGAGCCGAACGAGTCGAACACGAGTTGTTCACAAACAAAGAGTCCTTTTAACAACCCTAATGATGTAGCCATAAGACAATAAGGGTTTGAGCAAGATTTAAAAATTATTATTTATATTACAACATCATTTGAATCTAATTTAATAATTTTTATTTTATTTTCTTAATCAATATTTCAATTAATTATAAATCTTTGTAGCCTTGTAGTCAATTAGATTTTTTTAAAATACTACTTAATATATATATATATAAACTTGATGAGTAGTATTTCGAGCCAAAACGAGCCGAACACTAACGAACACATCTTAGTTCGTGCTCGGCTCGTTAACTCATTGAACGAAATTAACGAGCCGAACACGAGTTTCTTAACGAGCCGAACAAGAGCTGTTCGCGAACAACAAGCCGTTTTGACTTCTCTATCAACCACCATGGGAGTCTTTTAGGAATTATACTTCCTGACATCTTCTATGGTGACAAAACAATCAAGCCAACTTTAACCTCAAAATTTTTACCCTCTAATTTAAACTAAAATAGGATTGACGATGGGGATGGAAAAAAAGGTGAAAATTTCTTTCGCTTTAAGAGTTGAGGAATGGGGGAGAAGGCTGATGATTGGGACACAGTATAGAGTGTTTGCATATTCAAATTAGTGTTATCCTTTTTAAAATTATTTTTTGGAATATTTGTCCTAATGTCGAATAGGTGAATTAAAATAAAGATTGGCCATTTGAAACTAATGCATATAGGAGTGTTGGAAGAGGCGTGCATCATCATTAGTCTTTACTGTTTAAGTTTTCCTTTTTTTAAATCCTTCCTCACAAATCATTTTACTCAAAAGTTGGTTTTTTTTTTTAAATAATCTCAATCTGTCTTATTGGTTTTGCTTATTTACATTTCATGCCTAACTATTTTAATTAATTCAATATTTGCTCATCCTCACAAAATATTACCATTTATCATTCCATTTGTAATTGTGACTTCATCTTAGCATCCTTAAATTTTCTATTTTTAATCGAGCTACATTTTACTCGAACTCACTACAACTTTGTTAGCTTGTCATCATAGATCTTCCAATTTTTCTTTCTAGTTTTTTTTTTCTTTATAGTTGACTTAAGTTAATTTTCCCATCGGTTAAGTTCATAGCTCCTTATCTTATTTTAGTAGACCACTCTTATTACACTCTTAACCTAATTATGTTTTCATATATTAATCCAAATTTTTAGCACATTTTTCTTAACATTCTCATTTCACTCATGCTCAGCTTGCCCATCTATATTTATTCATTACTAAAGCTTAGGTAAATAGAACACAACAATGCAAATTATAGCTATTTCGCGTAGTTATTCAAGTTTTTATTATATTCCTAAATAGTAATGTAAAGCACTTCTCTAACTTATCTACTTAGTTTAACTCTAAAAATTATATCCTTATTCATATACTCATTCTTTTGTATGGTATCTCGAAATATTTTATCACACATTGGCATCCCTTTCTCATGGTTTGATAATTTGTAATATCACAATTGCTAAAATTGCATCACTCGGCCTTTATTTTATTAATTTGAGGACTTCTTTGTTCTAAACATTTTATCCATTATTTCATAATTTAATTTAGATTAAAGGAGTTTTGGTCATTCTATCTTATTTGCAAGAAGAATTCACCAAAATACTTCAAATTTAGTTTCTTTCAGAAGCATTTTTATAACCAATGCAACATGATTGAATTTCTTTTGATTCTTGATGTTCTGGTACTATGATTGGGAACTTTGTTGTTACTAAATTGAAAATCATACTTTTAAGTATTGTAGCAATTGTTAGTTTTTCACTATGTTGGATTTCACTCCTAGTTGAGGATTCCGCCAATGTTGAGTCATGAGACATCATAGGATATCTCGAATACTTAATTGAAATCGGACAATTTCAATACTAGATGAGTAGTAGTTTAAGAAATGCTCTTAATGTGATAGTAGACCATTTAAATTTAACCTTTCAAAGGCATTTGATAATTGTTGATTGGTGCCATAATCATGCTAAAACCTTAAATGAATTGTTCGAAAAATTTAACTAACCTGAGGAAGTCATGATCTTTATGGATGTTAGTTGCCAACATGCTAATTCTTAGTGTGTCGAATTTTCTCATGGTTTATAGAGGCGCCTTCATTGGAGACAATGAAGCCCAATAAACTTGTAGAGGCCATGAAGGAATATTTTTTGTTTAGATATATAATATTTCTTAATAGAGAGATTACAAAATTAACTGTTAGTGGCGGATGCGGACATTTCTGAGTTTGGCTAAAAATTAGGTTGTTGTTGAAGCATACAAGTAGGAATTTCCTAATGAATGGACTAAAGGGATTTATTGTTTTCATAGAATTATTCGGAGCAATTATTATACCAAATAGCATAATCAATCACTTGTAAAGATTTTTCTTTATATCATAGGTTGTCTTTCTTTTGTTCTCCTCTAATGGAGATTTGGAATTATTTGCTCATCAAATCAATTTTCAAGAAGGTGACTGACTTAGCCATCATGTCTAGTATGGGATGAGTTTTTTAATATTTTTTATTTATTTTAGTATGTGATGAGTTTAGGATTAGGAAACACCTAGATTTGATGTTGATTTTGTTGGTGACATGATCATCTGCACAAATATGTCATGTGACGTTTTTCTTTAGTGTAAGAAATATGGAAAGAACACAAGGTGATAGACTATCTTGAACGAATCTCTTAGCTAAAAATTCATTTACTTGTAACTTGAGTTTGACATTTTCACCTAGATAATGATGAAGCTTTGGGAGTGAGAGTCCAAACACAAGATGTATTGAGTCAACCATAACATATGTGCTGCTGCTTAACTTTCTTTTTGGTACTAAGAACAATGCATTCACTTTTAGAGTAAGTGTTGGAAGATGGCATCATGTTTCTAGAATGTTTCGGACCTTAAGCATCCCTTACATAGCGTATTACTACAAAGTGTGTCATGTCTAATGTGTCTTCATCATTGGTTCTCATTAGGGGTGTAAACGAGCCGAACACGAGCGAGCCAAGC